TTGAGCTTTTCTAGCTCACTACAGCTCCATTGAGACAAAGACAAAACCTGATTGCAATAAAAAATCATCTTTCTCAGTTTGAAAACTGGCATTATTGTATCCTATTATAGTGAGTTCCCTCTCTCCTCCATAAACCAAGAACATATCCTTAGTCCTCTTCAGATACTTAAGAATGTTCTTGACCGCGATCCAATGACGCTCTCCTGGATCTAATTAGTATATCCTATAAATGCTTAAAGCATATGAGACATCAATTCAAGTAGATAACATGACATATATAATGGATCCAATAGTAGACGCATATGGTATCCTGCTCATCTTATCTTTCTTACCGGGTGATTTTGGACACATGTCCTCGAAGAGATGAATACCATGTGACATTGGAAGGAATCCTTTCTTGGATTCATCCATATTGAATCTCTTCAATACCTTGTCAATATATATACTCTGACTTAGGCTAAGTAACCTACGAGATCTATTACGATAGATCTTGATACCGAGAATGTAGGTTGCTTTCCTTAAGTCCTTCATGGAGAAGAACTTGGATAACCAGGTCTTTACCATCTGCAAGTTCGGTATATCATTCCCAATAAGCAATATGTCATCAACATACAATACTAGGAATGCCACTGCACTCCCACTGACCTTCTTATACACATAAGGCTCATCTTCTTTTTTAATGAAACCGAATTCCTTAATAGCTTTGTCAAAACAAATGTTCCAGCTCTTTGATGCTTGCTTAAGTCCATAAATGGACCTTTGCAACTTGCATACCCTTCCTGCTTGACCTTCAAGAGTGAAACCATCGAGTTGTGTCAGATACAAATCTTCTTCAAGGTTTCTGTTTAGAAACACAGTTTTGACATCCATTTGCCAAATTTCATAATCATGGTATGTAGCTATTGCAAGCATAATTTGAATAGACTTTAGCATCGCTACCAGCAAAAAAGGTTCGATCATAGTCTATGCCATGCTTCTACTTGAAACCTTTGGCAGCTAGCTATGCTTTATAGGTATTCACGTTATCTTCCATGCCTGTCTTTTTCTTGAAGATCCATTTAAATCATATGGGTTTTATCCCATTGGGTAAATCCACCAATGACCATACTTGATTCTAGTACATGGAGTCCATTTCAGATTTCATGGCCTCAAGCCATTTATCGGAGTCCAGAATCGATATAGCATCAACATAGGTTTGAGGTTCATCTCATGATAAACTAGTATGACACCGTGCTGAGTCACAAGATATCCATACCTCTCGGGCTCAAGACATACTCTACCAGACCTACGTAGCTCTTGTGTCTGAGTTGGTTCACTTTCTTCCACAATCTGTGGAGTGACCTCCTCCTTTTCTGGTGGTACATTTGCCTACTCCTCATCAGCCATATCTTATGGAGTTGAAACTTCACCAAGTTTGACCTTTCTACCTCCTGTGCTATTTTGGATAAATTCCTTTTCCAAAAATACCTTAGATCAAGCTACAAAAACCTTTCATTTTTCTGACCGATAGAAATAATATCCCATGGTTTCCTTAGGATATCACACAAAGATACATTTGTCAGATTTTTGGGCAAGCTTATTTAACATCAATTTCTTGACATAAGCCGTACAACCCAAAACTCTCAAATAAGACAATTTAGGCTTTCGTCATTCCATAGTTTATATGGAGTCTTATCCACTAATTTGGGTGGCACACAATTCATTGTGTGAATGGTAGTCTCCCGAGCATAGCCCCAGAATACTGCGGGTAGATCAGCCAAACTCATCATCGTACGAACCGTATCAAGTAATGTTCGATTCCTCCTTTTTGATACATCATTATGCTGTGGTATATAGGGACGTGTTAGCTATGATACTATCCCACATTCCTTAAGGTATCCACAAAACTCCAAGCTCAATTATTCACCTCCTCGGTCCGACTGAAGGGCCTTAATACTGTTTTCGAGCTTATTCTATACTTCATTCCTAGGCTTTTTGAACCTGTCAAACGATTCATATTTATGTCTCATCAAATAGACATAACTATATCTACTGAAATCATCAGTAAATGTGATAAAGTAAAAATATCCTCCTCTTGCTTGAACTATCATAGGACCACATACATAACTATGGATGATCCCTAATAGTTCTGTAGATATTTCACTGTTTCTAGTGAAAGGCGACTTGGTGATCTTGCCTAATAGGCATGACTCACATACCTCATATGATTGAAAATCAAATAGGTCCAAGACTCTGTCCCTATGGAGTTTTGCTATGCGAGTTTGATTGACACGACCCTGCCTATAGTGCTAGAGGAATGTTTGGTTAACATTGCCATTCTTGGCTTTCTTAATTTCAAGATTGAATATCTCTTTATCCATATCTTGAACATATAAACCATTATGTAACGTAGCATTTCCATACTGAATACCATTCAAACTAAAAGACATCAATCCATTAGATATATGAAAATGATATCCAAAACTGTCCAAAGTGGACACCGAAATAATATTCTTAAAATGGAAGGTACATAATAACAATCCATAAGTTCTAAGATAAGGCGTGAAGGGAAAGATATTTGATAAATACCTACTACTAGAGCATCAACTCTGGTCTCGTTCCCAACGCGTAGGTCAACCTTCCCTCGGTTGAGCGATCTACTCTGCCACAGTCCCTACACATTAGTACAAATGTAAGATACATATCTTTTGTCAATAACCCAAGATGTGCTAGGAGATAAGTTTATCTCAATCATGAACATACCTTCAGAAGAAGATGCAGCAACATTCTTTTTCTCTTTTGCTAGGAAGATCTTGTAGTGTCTTTTCCAATGGCCAAGCTTGCCACTATACACTACAACAAATTTTTAATTTAGGGATGAATTCAGTTTTTTCCTAGAATGGTCATTTTAGGGGACGAAATTGTAATTTCATCACAAAATGCTTAGCACTTAATTTCCACCCCGTGCCAACAATGTCATTTGGAGGAAATGATGAAATAATATGGAGGGAAATTATTCTAGAACGAAATTTATTATTTTTGAAAAAAAAAAATTTAGCTAAAAACTTGTTTTTTCTAGGATGAAATTTTTTGTCTCTAATTGTAAAAAATTTGGAAAACTTTTTAGGGACGAAATTTATTATTTTTGGACAAAAAAATTGTAGCTAAAAACCTTTTTTTTCTTGGACGAAATTTTTTTGTCTCTAATTGTACATAATTAGGAAATCTTATTAGGGACGAAATATTATTTTGTCCTAAATTATGAAAAATACATTTTCAGGGATGAAATTTGGAACTACAACAAATGTTTAATTTATGGACGAGTTCAATTTTGTCCCAGAATTGTCATTTTAGGGGATGAAATTGTAATTTCGTCAAAAAATGCTTAGCACTCAATTTGCACCCCCACACCAACAATGCCATTTGGAGGAGGGAATGATGAAATAATATTGAGAGAAATCATTATGGGACGAAATTTATTATTTTTGGACGAAAAACTTTGTAGTAAAAACCTATTTTTAATGGGACGAAATTTTTTGTTTCTAATTGTACAAAATTTGGAAACTTATTAGGGACTGATGGGAATGCAAAATGTCATATTTACCCCCCTTAAGGAAACGGAAACCTCAGAATCAAATAAACTGTGAGATCTTTCTGTTTTTAGTGTTAAATTCATGTTTGAGTATTGAATGTTATTCTGTGCATATTTTCATGATTGATGCATTTAATTACTAGGAGGCCTACTAGTGTATTATTTGTTGAAATCTACTGCTAAGTTTGATATCAAATCCGTAATTGTTTGATCCCTCCAACTTGTGAAGCAATTAGGGTTAGTAATTTGCTACGTCAGGAATTAGTAACCTTACGAAGAACATTCAACTAAATTAAATACAACCGCTTGTGTTTGTGTTGTTTAGCTTCATCGATCTCTCTAATTCTTAAGGCTGCCACTAGATTAAATCTTGAGCGCTTGTCTAGGGTTGTTTAGGGGTAAGATTAATTAGGATCGCTTGTTTCCTGATTAATTACAATTAAGGAGAGATAGGAAATTAGTTCCAACGGTGAATATTCAATGTGTGAATTGATTATCTTTGCATCAATGATCAGTTGTAAGATTCCGATGGTGGATGTTGACAGAGACCAAGTTTGTCATTTTGATTAAATTCGAATTAAATTGTTTTTGTTTTTGCTGAGATTGTTTTCTGTTTTTACACAAACCCCCCAGCCTTTTTCACATCAAAGAAAATTCAGCTAGACATTCTTCGTGGGATCGACCCTTGCTTACCCTATTTACAGTTCAGTAGTTAGGTTCGGAAGGTTTTAATTCTGGGTGCCTACGACAGCACGCCAGGGACGAAATACCATTTTGTCCTCGATTGTGAAAAATGCATTTTTAGGTACGAAAATTGGAAAACTAATTAGGAAGTATTATTAGTTCTAAGTAAATGTAAAAGCATTCAATTCCTTTTCTATTTCATTTGAAACAAAACCCATACTTGCTTGTTGGTGAATCTTGACCTCCTGCTCTGAAATTGATTGAAACCCAAGATAAAAAATTGGAAATTAAGTGCAAGTGGTGAATGAGGATCGGCTGAAAAATGGCAAGAAGGCGTGGCGGGTACTTTTGAGGATCCCAACATGCTTTAATGGGCCGTTGTTTTCCTCTTGCTATTCATTTCGCTCTTTGCTTCACCCACTACAAAAGAAAAAAAAATGGCCTACTGTAACACTGGACTATGAATATAATTTTGATAAGTAACACTTCATATTTTTATAACTCATTATCTATCAATTGTTGGACATGACTCATATTTTACACGGGCTTGAACTACCTGCGCAGACACATTTGGGGGTCCCACTCACCGATGAATGGGCAAGTGTGAGAGGGCAGTGCTCCCTTTACAGTAGGTCTAATTAGTAATTGAACTTGTTATTAGTTTATTAATATTTAGGTCTAGGTCAGGTTAAATTTGAGTAACCGTGAAAAAAAAAACCTATTAAACCCTAAACCCAAAATTTCCCCAAATTTTATTTACCAACACCTAATACCCGCTAACCCGAAATTTCCCAAATTGTCATTGTCTTCTTAAGTCATCTTCTTCAAATCTTCTTCTCTCATTTAAGATTTTTGCAATCTTCACTCAAATTCCCCTGTTCGCACAAAAATCCTCCCTTCTCTTCTTTTCCTTTTCCCAATTTCACCCCATCTCCATCGCCCAGGTAACTTATGTTTCTTCTTCTTTCGTTTCTCTCTCTATTTTCAAAATCAGTTTTGAAAATAGAGAGAGAAACGAAGATTTGGGTTCAACAAATTAGCCGTGCAAAACTGTAATTTGGATTTTATGAATATTCTTCAACAAGAAGCTACTGAAAGAGAATGGGAGTTCACGGTCTTTGGGACCTACTGGCTCCCGTTGGCCGTCGCGTTTCCGTAGAAACCCTTGCCGGAAATAGACTCGCCATCGGTAACCTCAAACCCTAACATTCTTGACTTGTAAATTATTATTGTTTTTATACTCTTTATATTTTCTTTATTTTTTTCTACAGACGCGAGCATATGGATGGTCCAGTTCATGAAGGCTATGAGAGACGAGAAGGGAGAGATGGTGCGGAACGCACATTTGATAGGCTTTTTTTGCTAAATTTGTAAATTATTGTCTCTGAAGACAAAACCAGTTTTTGTCTTCGATGGAGGACCACCGGTGCTCAAGCGCCGCACAGTCATTGCTCGCTGGAGGCAACGTGAGAACGCCCAGGCTAAAATCCGTAAAACTGTTGAGAAATTGCTGATTAATCATGTAACTATTACTTATTCAATAATCTTTTACGTTCTAATAAGACAGTAGTTCAGGTTTTGTGTTTATGTTATGGTTAGCTGTCTTTTTCTGGCTGTTTTACTACTACTATTATTATTATAGTTTGATTTACTTAGTGTAGTCATAAAATTTCTGTATATACTCTGTGTTTGGAGAAGGAGATTGAACTGAATTTAATGTAATTTTGGATTCAGAAAATGAAAAGAACAGAGTTACTAGAGATAGACAAATGCATTTGTTGCATTCAAGTGCTAGATTGTTGTTCTTTGTGTTTGTGGTTCAGGAATTTAAGCATAATTCAGTTTTGGTTTGAGTTGAGTTTGTGTTTGATTTTTACTAATAACTCAAGACAATGAGGTTGAAAGAATTGGCAAAAGATCTTGAGGATCAAAGAAAGAAGCAGAATAATGCTTCTAAGGGCGAGAAGATTTTGTCAGACCAAATAGCTGTCACGCGAAGAAGTCTGGGAAAAAATGATGCGGCTTTGGCATCTAGCAACAAGGGAAATCAAGATGCAATGTAAGCTGCTTGCTCTATTGTAGTTCTGATGATTGTTTTTGTGTTTATTCACTGTATGACATTTTTTTTATTTTTTTATTTGTGATTTCTTAATTTAGGCTGGCAGCACCAGCTGCTGCAAATCTCTTTCAGGAGGATGGTGATGAAGATGAAGAGATAATGATGGTAAGTCTGTGCAATTTCTAATTACAGTTGTTATTTTGGTGTAATTTGTGGTGCTGATTTTTGTAATTCTTTGACAATGAGCATGGTATTTAGAGATGTAAATTCTTGTAAGTTTAAGAACAAATTAAAGTTTAAGCATACTATGGGATTTTTCCTCACCCCAGTTAAACCTGAAAGAATAATATGATTTTACTTTAGACTAAACTAACATTCCTCTCTCGCCTTAACTCTCCTTTTGTGAAATAAATTTTCTCTCTCGCTTTGTGGTATACTGGGTCTTATATGTTCAGTGTTTTTATGAGACTTCTTGACTCGTGTATCCAAATGTAATGATTATTTTCTCATGTTTTGCAGCCAAGACTTAGTGACTTTCAAATCATGATGTAATGATCACTTCATCTTGTTTTGCAGCCAATAATGGATGGGAATGTTGACCAGCCATTATTGCAGCTTTGCCGCCATCAATGCAATGTCATCTTACTTGTTCAGGTGGGTATCCATGTGTATTTAATTTTGGCTCTCTAGAGTGCTGGTTTTTAAGCAATCTGGTTCTTGGCATTATTATTGTTACTTTTTTCTAATGGTATGGTATTGATGCAACTCAAATGTTTCTGATTTAGAAGCAGAAGCATGATGTTAAGGGCAAGAAGATTTTTTATGTTGACAACCAAGATCAAACAGATTTGGTGGGGAGTAATGAGGAAAGAAGTCATGTTGCATCAAAGAGTTATGATCGTGAAAACCTTGATGAGATGCAAGCTGCATAGGCAGTTGAGTTATAAGGATAATTTGATTTATCTGCTTTCAGTGCTCTGTTTTATTGTTTTGACAAGTGAATTTAGATTGGCAGCATCTATGGCGGTAGAGGAACATGAAAGTTTAACTGACAATGAAACGATACCTGCTGGTTCAATTCCCTTTAAGGAAGAGGATGGTGATGAAGATGAAGAGGTGATATTGGTCAGTTTGGTTTGTTTGCTTAGGATTATTATGTTCTTCATAAGGTTTGATGGTATATTCTGGAACTTTTAGGACAATTTTATAAGCTGTCCTTCAAACCAGAAGTCACTGGAAAGCTATTTAAATTTTGGATGCTTGTTTTATTTGTTTCCTTTTCTAAGTTCATTCCTCAAAAGATGTGTGGGAAGTTAGTTACGCTGTACTTATTTGCTAGCGTACTTGACTCTGTTATTGAAGAAATAAAGCAATTCCGTGGTAGTCCATTGCAGTTTTGCAAAACTGTCGCAGATGTATGTATTGTTTATTTCCTAACTTTGGAAATGTATGCATTCGAAATCAAAAGCATCTTATAAAGGACAATTTCTGATAATTATGTCATTTTTTGTGCAGATGAGTGTGGCAGAAGCCAGAAAAGCTTGTCAAAAGTCAGTATGGGTGGATAAAGGAAGCATTAGATAGATTAGTAGAGCAACTAACATCGCAACGACAACAACAACCTGACGATCAGGAATAACTGTTAAATCATTCTTTGAAGCTAATCAAGAAAATCTGAATTGTAAATAGAATGTTGTTGAAGACAAAGAGATTACGTTTAGAGCGGATAAACTTTAGCTCGAAGTTGTAGGGATGGAAGCAAACAAGAAACTGTGACAACATTGAAGATTCCGGATTATAGAAAAGAACAAAGATGTTTGCTATTTTGTTTCTTGTTTCACTCTTTTGGAATTGGAATCCTGAAACTTAGAAGATTTTGTGTTAGTGGGTAAGTAGGAATTGTAATGTCGGCAGTCTTTGTTAATAAAGAAGTGTAGTTTGATTTGGGAAACTCAGCTTTTGTTGTTTTGTTTGTTTATATAGTGAAGTGAAAATGAATCGGGGTATTATCATGAAGGAAAATTAGCAGAGTTGACTCATAAATTGGGGTTACGGTTAACATCGTATGTTAATATGACCATATTATCAACCCAATTAGGGACGAAAATTTTTGTCCCCAATTCACCATTTCCTTAAGGACGAAAATTTTCGTCCCAATTCACCATACAAACAAGGGCAAAAAAATTTATCCCCAATTAGGGATGAAATTTTTTGTTCCCAATTATGTTTTTTTGGGGGACGAAATAGTGTTATTTGCGACGAATAGTTATTCTTTTGTAGACAAAAAATTTCATCACAAAGTAAATAATCTTTAATGACGAAACCGTATTTTGTCCCCAATGGTATGACTTTGGGGACAATTTGTTTTTTCGTGGGCATTACCCTTTAGTAATGCGGCTTTGGAGATGATTTGGTATGTCGTCTCGTATTACTTTTTAGGACAAATTTTTCACTTTTTGTGACAAAAATTTTCATCCCTAAATTTTAAATTTCTTGTAATGATAGAAGAAAACTACTTTCCTTTCCTTGTTGATACCTCCCACTAGGGATTCGGGTTTGGGCTTGGATTTAGCTTCAACCTTATCCTTGCCTTTTCCCTTACTTTCAACAATGCTAGCATCGACTAGAAACACCTGTCTGGACCTTTTAATGTCTGCACCAAAGTCTTGGATAGAAGCTGAGGGAGAGTCTTCTCATTCATTTTCATGTTATATATGAATTGACAATAAGAATCAGGTAAGGACTTCAAGACTAAGTCATTATCCAAACCATAACCCAAAGTCTCTACCCTCCCACTATGAGGGCCAACTTCGACATTCCAATCCATCTTTCTGTCCCCGGTTGATGTCAACACCAAGCTCCTTGGAAAGAGCCTGCTGATGGTATATATTTTTCTTTCAGACTTTAGTACAATTTTGTATCAGTCTGAAAAATTGCTACCCTGCAACTTGTTATTGGTTGTTAGATGGGGTTTACCGAGCAGAAATTAAAAAATTAATCCCCAATAACAACCATGAGCCCTAGATCCTTATACTCAATTTATGTTATTTGCATATAAAATAATATTGAACATAAATATTCCAGATTTCATACTAGCGTTTGGAGACTCTTTCTTTTGATATGAATCGCGCCCACTCTAAGACAAGAGTGAACTCTCGGTATCCACACGAAATATAGGCAACAACCTCAGTAAATTTAATTGCACTATAAGATTACCAAAATGCCCTTTCATCTTAAAATACGAAAATACCCCTGACTTATTTATCCTTAATCTATCTTCTTTGCGTGTGACCCAAAGGCTCCTCATTATATCGGCATTGTGTAGTATCGCGATTGACACCCAATCAATCGTCTCGCTAAACACAAACCAAGATTGGCCTTTAACAAGGCATCATGACCACCCGATAGATTCGACTTCAATGAAACATCTTATCTATCAACGATATGGTTATCGTGCAATCCAATCATTTCATCATCTATTATCTCATCAAGCTCAAGGTACATAAGTAATGTCAACCTCAAATATCCTTGATATCTCGGTATTCGGTTATTAGACCAACGATCGGAAATAGATTGGATTAAGCTACAATTCAATCCCACTGTGACCATAGATTTAGTGTCGTTGCTATTTACCGAATTGCTCAATGAGATAATTTCTCCCGTACCCGAGAGTGATGAATCTTTTGTCAATTCACCATAGTCTTGATACACTTCTCGATGTAGACAATTACTACCGTTCTGATAGCTCTGAATCAAACTACGTTGGGTTAGTGTCAAACTACATCAATTGGTGCACAAGGCACTCTAGTGATCTCAAGTCTAAGGACAAGGCACTCTGGTGATCTCAAGTCTAAGCACAAGGCACTCTGGTGATCTCAAGTCTAAGGATCACATGCACCACTATCCGTTAGAGGATTTATTTCACAGACACTAGGGTTACCATTTATGTGAAATCCTTTAGTGGATATGTCTAGTAAACTCACCTATTACAAGCACCCATGTGTTGCACCAAGTTGTTGACAAAAAACCTTGACAAGTGAGATCAGTCACTATCTTTTGATAGGGTCGTTCAACACTATGATAGTCTTACCGTATTATATGTGTCCTTATTCAGAATAATAATGGGGCTACAGACATTTCTAGAACAACCACCATATGTGATCATATGGTCTTTACCATCAAGATTTGAAACACTCGATACTCTCATCACAGTTCTACCATCCTAAGGACATACATTATAACATGCATTTAATACGAATTATATAATGTAGAAAATGTCTTTTATTAATTATAAACATTATTTACAAGAGTTAACATTTACAAAATGGATTGGCTTTAGGGCATCTACTCTAACACCTGTTTCCTTTTTTGATGATCAATCGCAACATTAAAGCGGAGTTGTCAACATGTGCAAAATTAAGTGAGTTAACATCATGATAGAAATTTAATTAATCAAGGTCTTTTAATTAATTAAATGCTCCCACAATTTTACTCAAATCCTAATAGCCCCCACTATTAGACTCAAGAAAGCCTGTTGGCTTTTCTAGTGGACCAATATCCCATCAATTCCATTTTTAACCTTCGTTGATTGAAAAGCCAAAAACGAGTTGATATAGGTTGGCCACAAACTCAATTTATACCAGCTAATGGAGCCGACCACTAATCCTCAAATATAAATTGTACAAGCAAACCAATTACACAATCCAATGGCGCCGACCATTGACCTGAAGTGCAACTCTTGAATTCGTAAAGTAGATACTACATATCTCCCATGAATTTAAAATTTCACTTTCTCTACGTGTGCTTCTAGTACGTCTTTGACCTTCGTTGATTGAAAAGCCAAAACTACTAAATAAGTCTAACCCAACATCAATAAGGAAAAACTCCAATGTGACTTAGCTTCCCATGGATAGAAAGCATACCCTTTGTTGATCGAAAAGGCAACAACAATCCATTGTTTGACTAAGTCCATGATGTTGGAAGGCTTTAATAGACTTAATATCGTTTATGAGGGATTTTTGCTCTTTTGGTCTCATCAGTTTTATTATTTTTATTAATCATATTATATCCATAACATTCAACCTTAGCATGCCAACTAAAGCAATAAAGATAAATATGTTGGTGCATTGCCTTAACTAAACCAAATTTCCCGAGCCTTTGGATTTTGTACGTCAACCTAGGTAATTAAATTACAAGAGGACTTTCAATTTAAAAAACCTGCCATCTTCAATGTAATACTCCTTCTGTTAGGAAACGACCCGGTTGCGCAGCGGAAAAACAAAAAAATTACAACCATGGATCGTTCCTTAGAACCCAAAATCAAGGCATAGATTTTACAGTTTATGCATAATATGAATCTGCAGAAAAATAAATCCAAAGGTTTAGATTTATACCCACGTTTGGAGGCTCCACCAATGTTGTCTCTGAATGTGTTTGCTACCGATCCAAGTGTAGGATCGAACCAAGAAGTCCACACGAAGACAACCACCAAGAACCAAGGAGGGATTTGCTAGATCCTCCTTGGCCTTAAGAAATCAAGAAGAAGATCAGTATTTGATTTTTCAATCAAACAGTGAGATTGGCGTGAGAGAGTGTATAAGGGGCTGCTGTTTTTTTTTTTAAAATTAAAGAATGAATCACACACTATTCTTTTTATAGGCAAACCAAGTTGCCCTATTCCCACATGGAATGGGCTTGGGCTCCAACCCAAACACCCCATGTTGCCAAACACTCCCAATTTGATATTTTAATTTAATTCATCATTATCTTAATTAAAATCAATTAATATTTAATTAACATTTAACAATAATGATGATTTAATTAAATATGTGCGAACACACATTTAACCGTAATTTCACTTATTTAATTTTTTAACAAATTAAATAAAAGGCTACGACCTCAGCAAATTTAATTGCACTGTGAAATTACCAAAATACCCTTTCGCCTAAAAAGACGAAAACGCCCTTCTTTCTTCTTGGCTCTTAAATTATCTTCTATGTGTGTGACCCATAGGCTCCTCATCATACCGGTAGTGTATAGTATCGCGATTAACACCAATTAATCGTCTCACTAATACACAGACCAAGATTGGCCCCTAGCAAGGCATCATGGCCACCCGATAGATTCGGATTCAGCAAAGTAGCTACCTGTCAACGATATGGTTACCGTACAATACGATCCTTTCATCATACGTTATCTCGACGAGACGAAGGCATAGAAATAGTGTCAACCTTCGGTTACTCTCGATATTATATATTCAGTTTCTGGACCAATGACCCGTATTATAATCTGGATAGAGCAACAACTCAATCCCACTGTGGCCACAGTTTTAGTGTCATTGCCATATACTGAATTGCGCCGTGAGATAACTTCTCCCGTACCCGGGAGTGATGAATCCTCTGTCAATCCACCATAGTCTTGATACACTCCTTGATATAGCCAATCACCACCGTACTGACAGCTCTGAATAGAACTGCGTTAGGCTAGTGTCAAACTGTACCAATCGGTGCACAAGGCGCTCCGGTGATCTCAAGTCTAAGGATCACATGCACCACCATTCGTTAGAGGATTTGTTCCATAGACACTGGGGTTACCATCCATATGGAATCCTCTGGTGGGTCAGTCCAGTGAACTTGCTGCGGTATAACCGCCTACAACAAGCACCCATGTGTTGCACCAGGTTGTCACCAAACAACCTTGACAAGTGAGATCAGTCACTGCCTTTCGACAGGGTCGTTCAACACTATGATAGCCTTACCGTATTATCTGTGCCCTTACTTCAGAATAATACTGGGGCTACGGACGTTTCTAGAATGGCCACCATATGTGCTCATAGGGTTCTCACTATCAAGATTTGAAACACTTGATACCCTCGTCACGGTTCTACCATTCTAAGGACATATATCAATACATATTGCAATAATAATGATTTACGCGATATAGAATAAAATGCTTTTTATTATTGATTAATGAACATTATTACAAAGAGTCAATTCTACAATAATTGATTGGCTCTAGGGCAT